TAATATAAAATATTTAAAAAAAATTAATTTTGTATTTATTTGGTTAAAAAAATTGAAAAAAATTAATATATTGAAAAAGTTAAAAGAAATGTGAAAGAATAAAAGATGAAAGAAAGAAAAAGTAATAAACTGATTAGAAAAAATAAAAAAATATGAGATATAAAAAAATAAATATTATGTATAATATGATAAAAAAATAATACTAAGTTTAAGTATAAAATTAGTACGATGATAGAGACGAAATCGAAAACAAGATAAAAATTACATAATCTATCTACATGTTGTTGGATTTAAGTCGATGAAAAAAAAATCGTATCTAATTAATTGGATCTTCGTTCATCGTACTCATAGACGGAACATATCGATTCCACCGTACGGATTTAATTTCCACCACTAAGTATATTTATCAGTAGGTTATATCTTATTTTACATTCCACGGTAAGAATTTAATTAATTTTTCAACCTAATATACTATGTGGTGAATAGAGTTGGATTAATCACTTTTTATTTTTACAATTTATAACGAGGTGACAATTCCACTTACCATATTTCACGCTATACGAGTTTGTAAGGATAAGATAGGCCTAAATAGACTAATATTGTCATTATTATAACTAATACTATATAATATCTTATGGTTAATATGTCAACATTTTTGTTATAAAGTCTTCAAATTATTAACGTTTATTTGAAAAAAAAAACATTATTAGTATTTGACATCAGAGGCAAAATATTATTTTTGTAATATTTTTTTTGTGACCATATCAATTATTTTACTATGAACTAGTTTAAAATATTTCATCTAATGATTATTGTCTTAAGAGTATGGTTATTAAAATTGGATCGAATCTGATCGATAAATATAATGGGTTGAACTAAGAATTTGTGTAATAATTGGTTGGAAACTTCCTAAAAATTGGATAAATAGTGAATTAATTACAAATTGGATAAACTGGTTAAAAAAATAAAAAAAAAATAGGTAAAATTAGATGGGTCAAGGGTTACTTTTTTTTTTTAAAGAATTAAATGATGTTGTTTTGTCTTATAATTTTTTTTAATTTAACATAAAAATACAAAGAAAAACTTATTTTTTATATTGATGGTGATATTCTTATTTTATTACAATCTTCGTTTTTATTATTATCGTCACCCACGACCTATGATTGTTTCCTTCCGATTTCATTATTGTTGTTGTCATTGTCTACTATTATTATCACTACAATAGTTCATGAAAATATAATAACATAAAAGAATTATAATCTCTTAATTTCAAAAATTAATTTGATAAGTGGAGAGTGAGTTATTTTTGGATTTCATAACCATGTCTTGAATTAAAATAAAATGTATAAATTTAAAGTTAGATAAAATTAAAGATATAATGCAATTTTTCTTCTTAATTATTTTCAAGTTAGATATAATTTTTTTCCTCTAATTATTCAAGTTAGGTAATTTTATTCTCTAATTACTTTATACTCTAAATGTTTAATAATATGTCTATTCATATTACTTTTATTTATGTATTTTATAAATTATTTTTATTATTATATCATTCTTTTTCAAATAACATTTATATTAGAGTGAAATTGTTACATGATAAACTTATTTTAAAAGTTCAATATATTATTATATTATTAAAATGTATTATTTTATTAAATTTGGTTCATCTCTAATTTAATTCTTAATTAAATTTTAATTGAACCTTTATACCTTAAATTTATATATTTATCAGATGATGGAATCATGCGCAAAACACTATGTACCAATAGTGGTAAAAATGCACAACCTTTCAAATGTTTAGGCATATTGTTTCTTCATTGTTGAATACAACTAAGGTTAAATAACAATAAGAAAGAAAGATATTTCTCATAACAAAAATACAAACACAAAAAATTATTTTAAATATGTAATGTTTTACCAAAAGTAAGGCGTTAATATGATGAAAGAAAAGGACAAAGAATTAGCGGAAGAATAATTTAGGTTTAGGAATTAATAGTTGCAGTTATGTTTGGCACTAAAATATTGAATGGATCCATGGAAGCTTAGAAGTTAGGAAGGAACATAGGGTCGGAATTTAGGGTAGATGTCTCCCCGCAGGTTCTTGATTGGAGTATGGAGCAATTTAGGTTTAACTGCTCCCGTGTGCTCTCTCCCACTAAATTCCATTCCATTCTACACAACACATGGTCACCAATTAATGCCTAGAGCTGAAACTCATGCAATAAATAATGCAACCTCCATCAACTCTGGATACTTTGCTTTTCATACTTTTTTTTTTTTTTTACCAATTACCTTTAATTTCTTTCAAATTTTAGAGCTTTATTCAAGTGTTGTAAAAACTCATCTTATGCATGTTAGATGTTGTCAAATTTTCTTTTTCAACATACTTCTTTGCTTTAATTCTGTTTTAGCATACCCGTTGATGTTTATGCTTGAAATAATAATTTTCATTTGTATGCCATTTTTCTTTTCTATTATCAATTATTTTATTATTTGTTAGTCATTTATTATTAGTTTTTATTTTATTTTATCAAATATGTATCTATTACCTTCTATAAGATAAAAGTGAATTAATCTAATACAATTATTCAAAAATCATAAATATTTATCTTTATAAAATCTAAATATAAAGAAGTATAGATATTTTATCCTTATTTTATTAAATATATATATATATATATATATATATATATTATTTAAATAAAATTAAGTATTTTAATTAAATACAAATATGTTATAATTATACAATTTTTATTTTTATTTTTTCAAACTTTATTTTTATATTTTAATAAGTAATTTATATATCGAATAATTGATAAATTATCTTTTAAATATTAGAATTGGATAGGTATATTTATTCAACCCATTAATGATGATATATATTAAGACATGTATTAAATAGTTTGGTTGGATTTATACAATAATATTGAAAAATGTTTTGAATTTTTGTATTTATAATTACAGGTGAAATATATTGTTACCATCAAGAGAGATAACACAAAGAGGGTAATGTCACGTTGACAATTTTACTTTAATATATAATAATAATATAATACTTTTAAATAAATATATTATTATTATATATTAAAATGAAGTTATTAGATTGTATGATTACCTATTGTTAACTTATATATAATAAAATAAACAATGCATAACAAGTTCGAAAGAAAAATATTCCATAAATAATATAATAACAATAATAATAGTATATGATAAAAAATATAAATTAATAATTATTTATCTAGTTTTAAAAGATAATTAAATTTATTATTTGGGATATTAATTACATGTTGATATGATAAACTCATTTGTAATGAATTTTATAAATATAACACATCAATAAAATGTAATAAATAGTATAATAATATTTTTTAATTATTTCACATTTAAATTTTTATGAAAAAGAAATTAAGTAAAATAATAATATGAACATATTTGCAATATATATATATATATATATATATATATATATATATATATATATATATATATAGTTTTTTAAAAAATTGAGTTGAACCGTTTCACTTATGGATGTAAACAAATAACATTAGCCACCCAACATGCACTTCACACTACAACACCGTCCATTCCACGTTCTTGTACCCCTCACCCACCCAACACTCACTCAACCCAAGTGGAGTACTTTGGATCAGGCTAAATCTAAGCTACTCTCAAACATAGATCAATCAAAACCAACAAACACTAAACAAAATAATCTTAATTATATTCTTTCATTAAAATGAAAAATTATTGTAGAAAAGAAAAATATTCTACCAGTGTTACCATCAGATGAGTCGAACGGATGAGATGACCCCAGACCTATCTCATGCATTGTCCAACCGCATGATGATGGAGTGGAACCCACGTCTCTTTTCCTTTGTTATTTTTTTCAGTTAAAAAACTGGTTGATGCTCTTCTGCTACTGCTGTGGTGTGATAAAGTGAAAAGACTATAGAGTTACCAAAATTGGTGACAAAGTGTCAACGGCATTAGATTTTGGAAATATAAAGTAGTTATGTTGTTTGTGTCAAGGCTTCTTCCCTTCTTCCCTCTCCAATTTCCTCAGTCACTTATATTAATATACTAATAAATATCTATCCTCTACCCTAAACTAGGTGTTTTGGTGAAAGAAATATTCCACTTGCTAGATAACACAACACTACTCGACACGTGATGGTTACTTCCACAGTCAACCCACATTCACATTTGAAATGCTATCCACTGCACCTAACCTCCCGTCTCCACCACTATTATTGTCTTAGGTCAAATAATTCAGTTTCACCCTACCAAATTCTAATTTTAATAATAATAAATAAAGCTTCACGAGATGAATTGGGTGTCCATCACAATTTGTGTTGTGGGGAAGGGTGTAAGACCCAGTGGCCCCACCCACTCTCCCCATTCCCATTGATAATCACAATAGATTAGAAAACACTGTACTGAGTGGGTCCTGCCCCCAGTGGGTAATCGCCTAACTCCCCACCATCCTTAGATCTACAAAACGACAGAGGAAAAACCCAGAACAGTAGCAGTAGCAGAGTAATATCTTTGACGGTGAACGCTCGTATGTCCACACCCACACAAGATAACAATAATACTAACACATAAAAACATTGCTTTGGGAGAGAGAAGTGTGCTGTGGAGCAAGAGAAAGAAATTGCATTTACATTTTCCATTCTCCTTATTTTTTATTTTTCTTTTACTGTTATGTCTATTTCCAACATATATAAACACATAAACATTACTTAATCACAGTACAACTCAAAATCTTATAATAATAATAATAATAGTATTAATTATATTATAAAATCTATAAAATTAGTCCCCTATGGTGAACTAAAGCCGGAAATTAACTTAGGGGAATAAAAGGGATGAAAAAAAAAATAGAAAATAGGATACTACAATTATGAAACCGATTTGCATTGTTGTATAATATAGATCTGAAATGAGAAGCTTGCATGACATGGGATCCACTTGCTTTTGATCATCTGAGTGATTCACATTCACATTACGTTGCAGCTAGAGGTGTTCTCATCGCTGAAAAAGTGGGTGTAAGGGTCTGGAGGAGGGTAGGGGTAAGGAGGGTACATATAATTCACTGCAGGAGGGGGCCTCGCGTACATCATTGGTTGGAATCGCTCATTTCCCATCATTGCACCCATGTATTGCTGTTGCTGCAACTGCTGTTGTTGCTGTATCTGCTGCTGTATCTGCTGTTGATGCTGTAACTGTTGTTGATGCTGGTGGAAAGGGTTTCCACCCATGCCATTAGGTGCGCCACCTTGAAAGTATCCCCCACCACCGTTGATGGAGGCGGCCGGAAGTCCCTGCACTGCTGGGATGTTAGGCATTGGCATGTTCATAGGGCCCATATTTGGACCAGGCATGGCATGGGGACCACCACCACCAATGTTTCGAAATCCACCGTTCACAGGTGGTTGAACACCAACTCCACCCATTGGAGTACCTTTTTTACCACCATTCATGTTATGGTTAATGTTACCTCCTCCTCCTCCTCCACCACCACCATTGCTACTCTTGTTACCTCCACCACCGCTTTTACCCTCCAATGCACCTCCTCCATTTTTACCACCACCATTGTTGCCATTTTTGTTACCTCCAACAGGATTGTTTCCTCCACCACCACCGACACGGCCGCTGCTGACACCGCCCCCACCTTTTTGTCCTCCTCCATTCACTTGAAAAGGAACAGGCCCAGAGCCTTTCTTTCCATTATTAGCTGCTGCAGCAATGTTATTGGCAGCCTTGGGAACATTCATCATCATGGGTGGTTGTTTCATTTTGTTGGGAGGAAGCTCCTCCATTTCATCTTCGTCATCGTCAAAATCCTCGTCGAAGTCGTCGTCATCATCATAATCATCCAATTCATCATCAGTCAAGTCTTCATCGTCCTCGGGAATATCAAACTTAACAGCTTTGGGGTTGGGGTTGTGAGAGGGATGCTTAAGGTCCTTGAATTGAGGGATGTTCAGATCTTGAAACCCTTTCATCTGCTGAAGTTGTTGTAGCTGTTGCTGAAGCCTTTGCTGCTGCTGGAGCTGCAGCTGCAGTTGCTGTTGGGGATTTGGTCCTTGTTGTTGACCACCACCACCACCTTTGGGTTGGTTGTTTCCACCACCACCCTCCTTCGGATTCTGTCCTTTGTTGTTGTGGTTGAGGTTTCCCATACCTTTCAGGTGTTCGATTTGCATGTTCTTGAACTGGTTGGCAAGGTGGTTCTGCTGGTTATGGTGATTGTTGTTGTTGGGTTTAGGCGCAACACCCCAGAGTTCTGCATGTTTTCCTGATTTCGCAAGCTTCTTGATGAGAAGATTGGGGTCCACATTCCCTGAAACCGTCACCTTCCCTTGCTCAGCATCGATCTCTGTTGTGAACACACCTGTGAACAAGTAAACAAACAGGGTATTCAAGACTTGTTCACAAGATAAGATGAGATGAGATTTTGTTTTCTTCTTCACATAATAAATGAAAAGCACCGACAATTGTTTTTGCTATACCATCAATTTTCTGCAAGATTTTCTTCACTTTCTGTTTGCATCCATCACAGTGTATGTTCACTTTCAGAACACATTTCTGCATGCACAAGCAATCCCACATCCAAAACAGAATAAACATAAGTTTCATATTCAACAAAAAAAAAAAAAAAAAACCTGAAACTAGGACAAACTTGTTCTTAATCAGAAATGTCCTAAAGATAAGGCCAAATAAATTAATCACACAAATTAAGAACAAAGGAGAAAAAGGATAAAATAGGAGGACATGGATGAAGTGATTACCTGTATCTTCAAGAATTCCTCTTTACTCATGTCTCACACCGCCAACAAACAAAAAGGTTGCGACTTGCAGAACAGCGCAAAAGGGTGGTAATAGATCTGAGCAGCAGAGAACAGCAAATGACAGGAGTAAAAATAGAGGTTCTTTCTTTGGGAAGGAAACATAGAGGAAATGACAGAAAAGAAATGGTTTTGTGGGTCTCCGAGAAGAGACAGGAGCCTAACCAGGGAGGCTGGCTCAGAGATGGAGAGAGAGAGAGTGATAAGCAGTCATTGGGAGAAAAGAAGGACAAACAAAGCAGAAGAAAAGAAAATGAGAGATTAGATGAGCACAGAGAAAATGGTGCCTCCAAGCGTTTGATATTTGTTCCGTGCCTTTATTTATTGGTATTTTGGTATGAAATCTACTGCAGTGGAGGAGCCTCTGTAATGGTAACAAGAGTAAGAGGGTAACTCCACACACAGTTTGGCTTGGTTAAGAATCTGCCTTTAACCATACTTGGGTTTTCTATATTTCTCTCTCCTGGTTTGGCTTGGCTTGGCTAGAAGACTGTGAGGTGGGGATGCTTAAAAAATCATAAATGACAATGCAGAAGTTTGAGGAGAGAGAAGATAGGAAGGAGTACAGTATCAATCTGATGTGAGTTTTGTTGTTATTTTTTTTTTTTAAGTTTCTCATAAACTAATTATCACAAAATGTGAGCTAACTGTGTCAGATCTAAAAACTCAACTGAGGATAATAATTTTTTCTCATTTTGTAAGGAAGTAGCTTCCTCATAAATTGCTAATAAGAAAGAGAATGATTTATAAAAAACAATTAAAAAATATTTTCTGATAAAATATTATTAAAATGTAGTTATTTTAAAACAAAATTAATACTTATTTATAGTATTTTGTATGCATCTCTCTTTCAACACGGTTTCCTCAATTTCATGAAAATAGCAGAGGGAGTTACCAAGAAATTTTGGTTGAATCTATTCATAAAATATCCAACAAGGATTGCATCGCATGTGCTTTAAAGTAACCTGTAACGTCCCATGATTCTATTCCAACATTTCTTCACTCTTTAAACATGTATCTTTTCAATTAATTGGATTTTTTTATTAATTAATAATATATAATTTCTTAAACAGTTGATTATTCTTCAACTCGTTAACATTTTTTAATGTTTTATTTAGTTGTAAAAAAAAAAGAAACGGGTAGAAAATTTTTAAAGAATTAAAGCAAAAAGTCAGTTTATTTAGTATAAAGAAAAAAATGAAAATTAAATAATTTTAATTATTAACAATAATTTTATTTGTCATTTTAATTAAATATTATTTTAATTTTTACAATAGAAAAAATAAAAATAAAAACTCATAATCAATTATGTATTTTTTAATCTATTTTTAATTTGGATTCAATTAATATATATATATATATATATATATATATATAATATTAATAAATTATACTGTTTTTTCAAAAAAATTAAACTCTTTCTCTCTCTAGAGAATTTATTTTTTTCATAGGATTTTTTATTTATTTTTTAGTTAATCTTGAATATCAATATATAAATAATAAATCATCAAAATAACTTTCGTTTTTTAAATAAACTTTTAAATATTATTATTAAAATATAATTTAATTTTTATATATTAATTAAATTATATTTTATTATAATATAGAAACTAAACTGTATTATAATAACAATAATACATGAGAACTTATTTATATAAATAATTAATCCTAAAAATAACTTTCATTTTTTTAAATAAACTTTTAAATAATATTATTAAAATATAATTTAATTTTTATATATTAATTAAATTATATTTTATTATAATATAGAAACTAAACTGTATTATAATAATAATAATAATAATATATGAGAACTTATTTAAAATATTAAAAAAATTAAGTTAATTCAACAAAATTATTTTAATTATAAAGTTAAATTAAAACTTTAAATATTTTTTAAAATCAAACACTTTTTTTCTATTTCTAAATTTTGCACAAATATGATATATTTTTTTCATGTCTTATGAATCATTAATAAAAGTATTCTTAACTTGCATTTAAGCATATTCATCAATCTTTTAATAGATATTTTGTTAGATACTATACATTAAAATACATATGACAATATAGTTTAATAAATTTATAATTTCATCTTATTAATTTTTTTTGGGTTATTTTAACATGTTTTAAGATAATATTTATCATTTAATAATATTTCATACTTATCTGTTCAGACAAGTTTTAAAATTAAATTAAAGAAACGTGTATTAAGAACCATCTAAATAAATAATTTATTCAATAAATCTTCTCTAATATTATAAAATATGCGGATGTCATACATATTTTTAAATTCTATAAATTCATAAAGAGTTATTAAATAAGTCTTATTATAAGAATCTATACTTTTTTATGAATTAAAAATCAAGTAAAAACTCATTTAAATTTCTGAATTTATTTATACCAATAGAAAAAGTATATTTAATGTGTCTGTTAGGTAATATATGTATTTATTGATTTTGTGAATTTCATTATTCAATTATAGAGATGAGAGGAAGAGGTTTATCCTATCTTATATGAAAGAATGTCACTTTCAATTAAAATAATAGCATTCACTACTCTTTATTTATTTTTGTAATAATATTCTTTTTACATATCTTACCATTTTTTAAAGATTTGTACATATTTAATTATTTAAATTTTATTTTAATATATTTTGTCAAAGTATTTTTTAATTTTTATGGTTTTTTTTTACCAAAAAATATATAATTTTAGAAATTGGGTGATAAACTGTATGTAATTTTTCAACAACTTTTAGATCTGATAACATAGTAAAGTAATAAACTGCAATGACTAATTAATGAAGGTGTGGTCCATGGTCCATGAACAACTATTGCTGTAATTGAGTTGAGTTTGAGGTTGTATTTTTGGGGAACTTGAGGGACCGGAGGTTTCAACTATTGCTTCACGTAGCTCCTATTGCCAGGAAGGCGACAAACAGACTACACTGATATTGAAAAATACACAAATTTAGGGTTAATTAAGAAAAATGTATTTTTAGTTTCACAATAAATATTGGAGACTATATTGTCTGGAAACACAGAAAAGGAAAAATATTTTTTAAGACACTTATTCAAAAGGGTGAACAGAGAGTGTTAAACGCACTAACGGTTCAACTTATCTTTTTTTTTTTTTTATTAAAACGTAACAATTCTTAACTGGTTATATATTATAAGAAAACCAAAATTTATTTTTTTTATTATAAAGATGGAGTTTAATTTAAGTCTATAAAATAAAAGTTGTTTCAAATTTAATATATTTTTTTAAGTTACAAGTAAAAAGTTAATTATTCAAATTTTATTTATAAAAAAATTATTACACTCACTCTAATTTTTATTTACGTGTTTTTTTATATTTTTTCATTTTTCTTTGTTTTTTTAAATCCAAGTATATTTTGTTTTTTTGATGATATTTTGCATGCAGGATTAGACTTTTGTTTGTGTTTTCAGATTCTCTAGTATGTAAATGGTAAGTTAGAAATGAATATTAATTAGTTTAAGAATACAATAATGTGTTTAATTTATTCATTATGCCTTTTTATGATTTGATTTCTTTTAGTATCAAGATTTTTTTTTCTTTAGAAAGGAGCAAATTCAAAAGTTAATGATTAGTTTTTTTTTCTTTCAATTCCATAGTTTGTACTTATATATTAAATTGATTTGACTATGTTGTTGATAATTTTATAATACATTCAAAGAAATTGATGTATTAATATTGTTAAGTTAAAAATGGACTATATTTCCAATGAATATTTAGGTAGAAATGGTCACTAATATATTTATATACTTAAGTAATTATATATTTAGGTAGTTGTGTTTAATTTTCTATGAAATTTAATATTTGCATAATTTTTACTTTAGTGATAAGAATTTTAAAGTAAGAAAGGTAATTTTCAGATATTTTTATTCAAATGATAATGTTTTGTTTAAACGAAAACATTATAGTAAAATAGGGTTTGACTTTGTTATATTTATAAAAATATTTTAGAAGGAGAAGGGAGTTAGAATGAATACCATTGAAGCAAAAATTTGTTCACTCAATCAATATTCCTTTATAGTATTTAAGTTTTAAAAATGTTGTTTTATGTCCTTAATGATATTTTTATGATGATATATAGGTCTCTTTGTATTAAGATTCATTGGATGTATGACTAGTAATTTAAATAGAAATTTGTTATAAGATATTCTCAATCTACTAATATTAGACTATGAGATAGTAGGAGTTAATTGAGATTTTCTTACTTCATATAATGTATGTATTTACTCTAATAATATATACGACGATTGTTGGATTACGTGAACCTAATTGTTGGTTGGTGATTGACGTAGGTGATGAAGTCTAATATATATGTAAATATTTAATAAATGAATTATCCAGAATAATAAGTTTTGTGGTGAAATAAAAATAAGATGTGAAGATAAGTGAAATTAAATGGAATTATATATGCTATAAAGATTATATAATTCATGTCTTATGATTTAGGAGTAGGATTAAATATAAATTAGAATGATTAATTATTTCTATATTAGTTTATCTTCTATGTTTATAATATTGATCTCTATAATGATGGTGTGATTATATATAAACATACCAGAGTGAATCTCAACAATATTAGTTTGGATATTACGTTGTTTTGGTTAAAAATAAAAGTTATTATTGTATTTATTAATATATATAACCTATTGATGAAATTATCTTTAAAGAATAATTATATATGTAAGTTGATGAAGTTTGTCTTATCTAATGACTATTTTGGGATAGTTATATTTAGAATGAAAAATAATTACTTTAAATTTTGGAAAAGAAAAACACAGTCACATATATAAAATAAAAATTAATTCATTTTATAAAAATAAAAAATAAATTTAATTTTAATAACAATAATAATGATAAATATGATTCTGTAAAAAATATTTATAATAATTACTATGATAAAAAACACTATAACACTTTTTTTTTCATTTTTTCAATGTCTTTGTTCATAATTTGTCATAAATATACTAGAATAATAATTTTATTTGCAACATATAAAAATAAATAATGATTTGATAAAATAGGTTATTTTAATAAATAATATATTTATTTTTTGTTTTTCTATATAAAAAATGTCTGCATTGCTCCTATCGTGCCAGTATTTAATTCCACTTTAATTTTTAAAATGATGTATACCTGTACTTTCTCCATTTTTTAGCTTTCATAATTTCAAATATGCTTACAGGATATATTTTTATTAGTTTTAATTTTAATATTATTATATTCAGACTATTTTAATTTTATACTATTAATCCTATATTACATCTTAAACTATCTTCGATCAAAATTAAAATAAACTAAAAGTAACTTACACTTAATAAAATATTATACTTTCGTTATATTGATTACAATGGTAATATATATACGAGTACACATTTTAAAATATCATTACATATTAATATTGTAATATTAATTCATTGTTAATATATTGAAGTATAACACTAATTAAGAAAACAAATAATATAAATAATGCAGTGCTTAAATAGCTAGTATAATATAAAATATAAAATAAATAACAATAGAGAAGGAAAAATAAAAGGCGAAAAGTAAATTTAATAAAAAATTTAAAAGTGAAAATAAATTTAGAGTAATTCACGTAGAGTTAAGCAAATATGGATAAAATTCGTACGATAGTGATTAGAGGGAACAAACACTTAAGAAGACATAGTTTTTATGAAGTAAATTAATATGTACAAGTAATTAAAAATTATGGTAAAATTACTAGATTTTTGTTAAGCCAATTTGGTTACCTTCTCTTTCGAAATAATTGGTTAGGTAGTGAAGATTATGGGTTAGTGCGAATTAATGGTTTTGCTGAAAAGGATTTGACACTTGTGCATTGCATCATGTGTATAAATGTACAATCGTTTAACATCATTATCAAACACTAGTAGACACTTGTACTCAATTCCCTTTAAAATAACATTAAATACTTAGGTAATGGTAGAATCACATTTACTAACATCATTTTCGAGCACTGCATAATTTTTTCTACCATCCATTAACTGCATTTTTTGTCCATACTTTCAGCATAGCCTTTAACTTTAGTTTTTTCCCAAATCTATGCCATGGATTAGGCTTTAAGTACATTCAGAAAGCTACTTATTTTGTCTACTTCGCTTAGTAATGCTTTTAAAAATCTTCCACAAATTCAAATTAATTACGACTTATTTCTTTATTCAAACTAATTTATTTTCAAAAATATTTTTAAAAAATTGATCTCTAATTTAAAAAAAATTAAAAATTAAAATTAAGGCCAACCAACTTTATTATATTAAGGTTGTATTATAGAAAAAGTACGTTAAATTTGTCATATATCTAAATAAAAATCTACTTATTACATATATAAATAATATTCTAATTTACTTCTTATCACAATAAATGTATTTATATAAATAAATTAAAATATTATATGAAAGATACGAATACTTTAAACATAACAGTTCAATTAAAAAAAAAACTTAAAAAGTTAAGAATTATTTTTTTATTATTCTTAATATAAAAAAATGATTAAGTATATGTGAATAAAAAAAAGTTTTGTTCTTACTATTCATTAATACAAATAGGAGTAGTGATTATAATTTGATTGATGAAAAAATGATGTAAATAAAATTCTTTTGAGATGTTTATGAAGAAGCAGTAAATGTTTACACAGGAAAAGAAGAAGAGGGTTTAAATGCCAAAACACAGTGCCCTTTGTTGGCACTTACTTATGAACAAATGAAGGAGATATTTATTGTAAATTGATATTTACCATGTTTCATCCCAAGCTGGCCTCACCCTAATTGAAGACAGTTATGCATGTTGGTATTCCCGAAGGAGAAAAATCAAATAGTACAACTACTACACTACACATTATGAATGAGTGTTATAATTTAATAATTAATAATAATAATATACTAGTGTATTATTATTACAAGTTTGTGGCAGAAAAAGTAAAAATCGCCGCATATGGAATAGTGTGGGACCGCCAGAATTTATGGGTACTTTTCCTTTGTGTTGGTGCCAAACTTGTGAAATGAAAATGGAGTTGTAGCTGGTCACGTTTTATGGGCTTTCAAAAAGCAAATAGACAGAGAGACACATACATACATAGGTCATGCTTGCAACTAATTAATAATAAAGTTAACCAGATTAAATCATGCAAGCACTACTTTAACACCAAATTAGGTGAAAGAAAGCAACCAAAGATCAATCACGTTCTCATTTTCTTGTTTTTATATATTCTTCTTTCTTCATTTTGCTCCTCTTCAAGTCTTCTCTAGCAAACCAAATTATTATTGCCCTTCTTAAAAGCCTAAATCGTGATCAAGTCCTCGTGGCTTTTCCCCTTTATCGCTTTGAACATGTCACTTTACTCGTCAAAGAGTGTTTGAATGGTGGTGTCAAAGGAAACACCGCAAATTGGTTTTCCTCACCCTTGGTTTAGAGAAAGAGACATCACGCTTAATTGTATAACAAAGCATGGACTTTTTTAAGAGTGCCAATTGTACATGTTTATTGAGTCACTAGAAGCATATATATATATATATATATATATATATATAAGAGCTTAATTTGAAGATATGTATATGGTAAGGTTAGTCAGAGTTTGATGCGTGGTGGTGGTGGATATGTTGTGCACTTTTCCTGACCTCAAACGCCACCAAATCCGTCCCACCCAGAAAATAAAAATAAATTGAGAACCAACTTTCGGATACATGATGGTGAGTGGCACAACAATGATATCATAACTTTTATATAAGTGAAGGAATGATGGGTAAATTTTTTGTGAGTTGAATAGGGGTATCTATATTTGGAATGTTAGTTTTAGAGATTGTGTGACGAAGCGTTGGATTGGGAATGACTTGGGCAGCCATGCAATGCAAACGCATTACTATTTATGTGGAAGGCTTTCACATGATGAAGCACATGGTGTTTGGACAGTGATTGATAAGAGAGAATACGAATTTGCAGTGAGAGGAAGTGGGTTGAGGAGGGTGTATTTATTGAACCTCACCTACAAGAAGAGTACTGTGGCAGTTGCAGTTGCATCTCACACATGGTCTTTTTTTTTTTTTTTTTTTTTGTAGCTTTAGATTTTAGTATGATATGGGAAAATAATAATGGAGTGAGGGTGTTGAGAGGCTTTGACCACAAGGGAAAGTTTTGATTCTTGTACTATTCAACCCTTTGTTCTACTTGCTTGGAAGTGGGAATGGATATATCATGCAGGGCAATGCATACACTTTAATTATTACCATTATTCCAAATGGTTAGACATTACGACAAAGCAAATGCTAAAGGGTAGGCAAATAAATTGAAGAAGGACAATCGAATATCTAGATAGATGCATCCGTTTCCCTTGGTGTGTATGCATATTCAGGCATTTTGTGAGGTCTTGGACCAGGTTAACTTTCTGCTTCTTTCTTCGTAAAAGATTGGAAAAGATACCAAAATATATTGAGTCGGTGTCTTCAAATTGTAGGCAAGTTTTCATGAAATTTGGATGCTATGGTATGGTACCTCACCCGTTCCTTTTTTATTCTATTTTTTTTTATTAAAAAAACTTTTCTCTTTTGTTGGACCATGCTTCTGAAAAGGTCAATTAATCGTATATGTAAAGTGTTGGTCACCCTCCTTGCCTTGTCCCCATTCATAACTAATAGCATGTACTAGGTGAGCATGTGTTTTTTCAAACAAAAAGCTCTAACGTTTAACAACAATATCCAAGGAATATTTCACATAATATCTTATCTCGCCACATGTCCAAATCTTTATCTGAAAAAAGAATTCAATTTTGTTTATAGTGAATAACATGAGTGGCAATTAGGCTGTGTTGTTTTTTACTCAAGGGAACATTGAGTTTCATTCCTCCATTAGTCTCAAATAGTTTGGCGCTCAAGTTGATGATTAGAGAAACTTGTGGAGCCTTTTAAACCACCTTACCTTAACTAAGGTTGAGAAGTGTACTGCAAGAAATGCCATTTAACATGCAATAATGAGTATTGTGGGCACGAACATGATTATGATGTCCACAACCATAAGTATCTTGAAATGCTCAAATCTTCATCTGTTATCATTTTCTCAACTGAATGTACATGCCTAGGAATTTTGAAACACAAGATTTTTAGGTAAGGAAATTTCTTCCAACTTATTCCGAGCTTGCACGTTCAACAGTCCAAATGTTGAATGAGTGAGTTAAATGATTAAAGCTTATAATATACATCTAGGCAGTATTGAATTATCATCCTCTGCAGTTGAAACAGAGGATGTCAAGTACACTATTTTTATTTCATATAAATGTGAAGTTTTAATTTATAATTACGTTAAAGTTGTATGCCATACGATTTATACGTTCTTTGCAGTTTCTACTTCCCTCTGCAGGATATTTCCGTTCTCCATCTGCAAAAGAATTGATTTGAGTCCCTCATTATCAATTTCTCCATCTCAACAATCACACAGTAAAATCTGTAATAGTACAAAAGCTCGTTTGACATGAACTCTCTCGCTTACTTGGGTTAAAGTTTGTAAATTCAAGTTAATTTGCAAAAGCATCCTAAGTTTTACTTTACAACTGAGTTTTTAGTAAAAAAAATCAAAATTAATGTATATACCTTTGAGAATAACTAAACATTTCGCGAAGCGGAATCTATTTTCTAATTTGATCTCTTTATTTAAAGGTGTGAAAGCAAAATAGAAGACCCATTTCAAATGAAGACAACATAACTAACTTATTACATCCGTTTTACTTTCACCTCTTCATTGGTTCAAAAGCTCGTGTCTGAAAACATCTCCAAGCTTCAAAGATTCTGATTTTGCATCTACCTTAACGGTACCTTGTATAGCAATATTAGCTAACCCTTTTCTTCTTATTGTTAGACAAAAGAAAAACAAGGAATCCAACACCCAGAATCTTTTCTTTCTTCTTTACTCTCTATACGTCACATTCATGAGATAAACCAACTATTTCAGGAAAGGAACCTAAAATCAGAAGTTCTAAATTTTTAAATCTCTGAAAGATGAAGACCAGGAACGTTGAACATTGTCTTTATACGAGTGAATTTAACCTTTTATAATTTTCAAATAGTTTCATTAACCTTTACCTCAACAAGATACATAACGAAGGTTCTCGGACTACCCAAACCAGGCCTACAAATGATCCTCTCTTAAAATATCACTAAAAAATGAACAATGATCATCTTTACAATGTTTATGACACGAGAGTAACATTCAATAACAGTAAAACCACATACGGTCTATTTTTCTCTTTGAATATCTTACATATGAACTTCACAGAAACAAATTACATATAAACTATAAACAGATTATTTTACTGCAATTTACAATAAGAAAAAAAATATATTACGCAATTAGCTTCGGATTAGCCAAAAAGGTGTCATTGATTGCCATTGTTTATCTTGATCTCTATAAGTTCCTCGATAGGTTGACGGCATATAGGACACTTATTTGATTGAAACCGCAAAGCTTTAGCACACTCACTGCACATACACTGGAAAGTACAACAGACGTTATCAAAGAAAATAAAAGTAGTGAATATAATGCAGCACAATACACATATACACGTGATCGATGTGAAGTAACGATAGAAGGAAAGGATCTCTACTGAACAATTATTATATTACTTGGAAATCAGAAGAAAGAGGTAGAAAGATTAGAACTTTGAAATCATATTTAAGAGGGAGGGCGGGGGTGTGACAGGAGAGGATCAGAAGAAGAATTATTCAGGCAATATAAAGAACATCAAGAAAACCATGATAGCCTTTTAGAAGTATTTAACTACGACATCTATTTTCTGTTTTTCAGACGCAGAATGATGATAAGACTGAGTTCATGAATCATATCATTAATGAATCACGCTAGGACCTTAAGATGTATTCATTGCTTGAAACTGAGTATCAACATTCAACTACACATTTAAGTTAGTTTGAAAAGATATCATACCATATGTCGGCAGGGTAAGACAGCAGTGTCCTTGAGTTCAGTCATGCATATTACACACTCCTTTCCTAGATCATTATCATCAAAATCTGGTGTTTCTGAACTTCCTATTCCATATAACTCTCTGAGCTCATAACGGACATCATCAATCCACAGAATCTGCCTAACTACTTTTACCTGGAAAGGACCAATACTATTGCTTTTCTCTAAGACAGCTTGAGTTATTTGCATGTGAGGGGATGCACCTAATACAGAACTATTAGTTTCAGCACATATGACAAGGGGAAATACATCTTCTCCGGGTGAGGGTCGAGAAAGATCATCCAACTCAAAAAAGCCTAGGTCAATGCCTGTTCCTGAAGGCTGACAAAATTTCTGGCCAGCTCCTTTTTGAAAGGGGAATGTGATTGGCTCAAACATATCAGGAAATAGTGGAATAAACCTACATTTTTCTTCTTCTTTGGCTAAGTAGAAGATAGTAATGCTGCCCATTACAAAAGAAAGCAGTATAAAAATTAGCCAAAAATATTCCATCATAAACATTTAATATTCATTCTATGTTCAAACATTCTCTTTCCAGAGCAATCAACTTAAAATAATCAATCAATCAAATTAATTGCAACTCTAACCCATAATTGTGGTTTCAATCAGTGCTTTCATTTGCAAGTGAACTTGTTCCGGTAAGTCAACAATACAACATTGTTTTTAATACTTTCAAATGAAACTTGTCAAAACCACAGCATACACAACTATAATTGTGAACATTGTTATACTGGGTTGTTCACATACAGAATGAGATGCATAGGAAAGTAAATTGCCAAAGAGAACAATGAAAAAGCACTAAATTATCGGATTAAAGTCAAACTAAAAGCAAGAATTACACACGTCTCTGGTAAGTAGATATCATTTTCAGTGATAAAATACAATGACACAGGAAATATCTAAACAAAAATTTGTGGGAAGGAAGAAAGAGAGAGAAGTGAGGTTACCTGCCATCATAGAGGGCATCGAAATCAAAGGAAATCAAGTGGTGATCTGGATTGTTAGTATCTACATAGAGGCGTAAAGTGTGTTTATGCAAATTGACGTCGTTCCTTATCTTCTTAGTGGTTTGATGATCAATATAGGGTGGTGGAGAAGCATGAATTTCACTTCCCCCCTCATTTGCATACAAGGGCTGCTGATGAAGCATCACAGAATTGGCAGTGTAGCCATTTGGGTAATACTGAGGAGGAGGACCCACATAGCTGGTGGTGGTAGAAGTAGAAGCAGAAGGGTTGGTTGAGGTAATAAAGTAACCTTGTGGTGGTGGTGGCAGAAGCGGCGGAGGGTAATAGTAAGGGGGTGGGAGATGTGGTGGATGAGGATGAGGATGAAAGTAAGTGTTTCTTCTTCTTCTTCTTCTGTTATTGTTACTCCATGAAACTCCCATCTCAAATTCACCACCAAAAGCTGGTGTTGCTGTTTTGGGAAACAAAGGAAGACGTAAATAATGGGTGTAGGTCAGCTGCAGCAGATCCGGTGATTCTTAGGAGCTGCCATTGCTGGCACCATTCACATTGTTCTCTCAACCAATCACAATTTTTTAATACTTTACTTTCCCTTCTTTCTTGCATCATTTACGAACTCCACCAACACATATTTTTAATCAGTTTCCTAGACTTTGTCCATTTATTCCTTTCTTTCTTTCTTCTGTTATTATGATTTTGAAGAAATATATATATATATATATATATATATATATATATATATATATATATATATAAATTTAATATACATGATATCTAAATTAAACATACATTAAGTATTTTTAGAAAAAAAGAAAAAATATTTTTCCTATAATACACAATTTATAAGTTTTCTTGTATAATTGTTTTAAATTATAAATTCTATTTTTGACACAAGTTGATTTTGACTTGCAAGATAAATTTATTATACAATTTTTTGAGTTCACACTAAATTAGAAAGATAAAAGAAAATTTAAAGATTTATTTGTTTATTATCTTTAAAAATGATTTTTTAATTTTTTTTAGTTTTTAAATTAAAATTCTTGTTTAATAATTATATATTCTTTTACCAATAATTAAAATTTTTCCATTTTTTAAATTTATTCTTTAAATTTTAGTGTGACTTATTTTTTTATCAAATTAGAATTATTAAACAAAGTTTTTCTTAATTTATTGAAATAAAAATAAAAACTAATTATTAAAATTATTTTCAAAATTAAAAAATAAAACTACATCAAACCAATTAGCTTCTTTTACAATAAAATGAACCATAAAGTGACATTTTTTTACATATTAAAAATAATAAATATAATACATTTTGAAACAATTTTACTAATATAATCTTGCTTTCAATGAATGTATGATGTCTAACAAGATAGAGAGTAATCAATTTAGGAATAAATTAAAATTAAAAAAAATTATTGTTACATTACAAGTTGATAAACATCAATCAATATAAGAAATTTGATTTAATATATTCAATTTAATATATATAATTTTTCCAAATTGTTTTAAAATTATTAATAATATAACATATTTTTAAAATTTTATTGTAACTAATATCACCATCCAATCATTATTTCATTGGTAAAGAAAAATAGATAATGATATTTACATATTTGAAAATGAATGATATGTCATCTTGTAGAAGATAAAATGTATCTGATTTATTTTTTAACTTTTAGGCTTAATTAAATTATTTAGTATTAAATATATTTAGTTTTTTAGGTTTATGTTGTGATAAGCTACTCTATGTCATTACAATAGTAATTTGAAATCCTGCTTTAGATAAGACATGGAAGAATGTAACTGAAAAGTTATTCAACACCTTGTAAGTAAATTTAATATAAAAATATTTAAATTCATTACTTCCTATTTCATTTAATTTTTGTTTAATTATGTCAAGAACTATAGAATCAATATGCTTAGTGATTGACCAGAAGGCTATTATCTGCCTTTAGTTTCGCAGATATTTTCTTGATTACTACAATAACATGTAAATTTCTATAGGCATGATACATCTAATTCTACAAATACACCCAATTTTATGGGTTGATAATGTGGTAGTTAAACAAGACTATCTATTCGTTTGACACAGGAAATGATTAAGATTTCATTTTCAGCAATTATTCATTCATCCAGCTTCTTGTCTATCAAACAAATCGTCTTCTTTCACCCTGTAACATTCTCCAATTCACAAACTGCAGAACAGAAGAAAGAACTCCGTTGTAACAAAAACCACATCAAGTGTGATGAGGAAGTTCATTCTATGTTATCAATACACTAATTAACATGTGATCATGAACCATTGTAGCACACAACATTGGAAGGGGGGACAAACCCAATGTGAAATAAAGAAAACAAAGAAACAATTTCTAATTCATGACAAACAAACTTGAAAAGTAAGCCCAGAAGAATGCAATTCAAATTCAGCAGAAATCTGGCCTTGTTCTCTTCCGGACTGATATAGAGCCTCTCTGATGATCCCAGAAGACTTTGATCTCAGAAGAATCCCTCAGATCCTCGAGGCTGATATACTGCTGCTTAGCCATCCTTAAGGAATGACACCCTGTGTCATGAATCCAAATGTAAGGGTGACTTGTTTCATCATAGTAATACAATAAACTCTTCAAGCTCCCTCCAACACTGCCACTCCTTCCGGGCATATAAGCCTTATATATGCTTTTACATTTCAGTCTTTTAGAAGACCCTGGCTTCAACGTGTGAATCTTCTTCAGTATTGATCCCACCCTTATTTGCAGCTCCACTGGTCGATCACTGAGGTTCCATATCCTTGTCCCATATCCAGAACCTTGAGTGTGGTCTCGACAACCATCAAAGCAGCCACCAAAGGATAGAAGGTTAAAACCTTGCACTTTCCCCATCAGGGATACTTGAACTGCTGCTTGTTCTTGATCACCAACTTCCGAGCAATATATGTTTTTGTGCCATAGAAACTCCACTAGTTATATAACATAACCACCACAAAAATTATGCTTTTTGTGCTAAAGTTTAGTTACTTTGCAAACCAAGGGGTTTCTCAATTCTGAGGCTATGGAAAGAATGTGTAGTAGCCTTGCACTTTAGACTCCTCACAAGGACAGAATATTGTTTAGCCCTTCCATCAAGGAAGTGATTGGGTCCTTAGACGCCAAGATTCAACAAGAAGACAGTGGAAAAGTTTGTTGGCACTGACAAAATTATATAAAATTGCTAGAATGGCTTTTCCTTTTGTTTTAGTTGGGAAAGAAAAAGATGATATTGGCATTTGGCAACAGTAGTACGCATTCAAAGATTCATGATGAGGTCTCATATGATGTTGCCTCACCTTTATTGCAGGCAGGTTGCTTTTGGTTTAATCCAAGATGGATAAATAACACTACCCTCAATAAGTAATTATTTTCTTTTCTCTCTTAGCTGTGCATTGAGCTCTTGACTTTATACTTTCCTGGGTCATGTTCTCTTCCGAGTGAGAAAAGAACCTCGTAACGAGGTTCTGTTGGTGTTGGTGGAACAAAACATTGATACGGTAGTTAGTGTTGGTTGCTGTCAGTCCTATTCTCTCAGTACAAAATTATCAATAATAACTTGTGTCTATCCAAATTTATTTACTTTGCTTCATTAATGTACAATATCGACAACAACCAAAGCTTTTCCTAACTAGAATTATTTGACATCTCTGTTCTTAATTCTCTTGTCTTTAGTTTTTCTTAGACTTCAATTTAATCTATGTAACTAGGTCTATCAACTTGACTGCCCTTGACACATTCATATATTTTCCTTATTGAGATTTCTGTTTGTCTTCTCTACCAAGCCGAAACCACTCAAACCATGATTTTCCACATCTTGTATAGTATAAGAAAAAAATAAAAACTGGGTAGGTTAAATATACATAAATAATAGTAACAATGTTCATTATTCTTTGCTTTATGAGATATATAGTTATGAAAATACTAGTCAATATTTAAAATAGAAAAAAAAATTACACACTAACAGTGTAAATTAAGTTAAATTGTCATACAATCAGGAATTACTTGTAATGAGTTTATTGACTTTTTCAATAATTATCTAAAAGTTATAGCAACGATATTTTATTATTAGATGAGAGTATAAAATTGTTTACAAATAATTGTGATTAGATGCATTGCTATTAAACTAATTGAAATATAGTTATTATAAAATGTTAGGTGCATATAACAGGTAAAAAAAAATACAAAGCTAGGAGAGATATATTACACGAAGACAGATAACTTTATTTGAGAATAAGCAACAAATCTTAATGATTAGATCGTAATCTGATTCGTCAAAATGGGATACTATCCTTATTTTATCATAGTAGATAACCATAAAAAGGGGAAGAACAACCAGGTATGAACATTCAATCTATTCTGATCAATCTCATAACTCCTTAATTAAATATTTACCCACTTAAAAGTTGAAACTCTTATAAGTACACTACATCTTTGCCATCCTAGAAGTGTCCCCATAATAGCAAAATCAATAAGAGTGGTTCAAGTCAAAGTAATGAAGAATATTGGATCACCAAGCATCTGAACCATTGAATTCCAAGTAAGAACACAATGCAGTAGCAATAGGATGAATTAGGAATGTTTATGCATACAAGATTGAAAGCGTATCAGAAATTATACGGAACCAGCGTCAAGTCACAATCCAGAGCACAAAAGTAAAAACCATAGATTATGATGAACTTTTCTGCCGTTAATAACCTCATCTTGATTGCATGATTTATCATTTATGTCACGAACAACATTTCCAATGCCAAAACTGTACAAGCCACAAATAAGCAGCTGCTAGCAGCTACTGTTTAAAAAAACGAATAGCCTTTAAAAGGATGGGGTGGGGAAAGAATTTACATAGTGGAATTTATTTTTCATGAATCTCTTCATCCTGATCGGCCTTATTTATGAGGGGCTGATTGAGATCTACAGAAGGTTCAATGACAATTGGTAGCTCTGGTGAAGATGCAGTGTCATCCATGTCTTCACATTCAGCCAAGGCTTTATCTAAAGCAGACTTGGCAACTTTCGTAACCCATATCATTAGAACCACTACGAATAGCCAAAAATAATATTTCAGCCAGGCATAAATCGAAGAAAATATTGGATTCTAGGTCTTAAAACAGCTTTTCTAAGCTAAAAAATCTCAACTTTCATTATGGTCTATAATCAGCTATGGATTCTCCAATCTTATACTTCTGTAATTATCACCACATGAAACACATCACATAACAAATTAATTCTAAATAACAGTAACGTGCTAATAAAAGAACTAATCTATGTGAAAATCTTGTTTCCTGACATAACTCACCACTTTTCTCACTACACCACACTCCCATACATTGCTGAAAATCCAAAGCATTATAAGCAAAAACCAGCTAAGGAATTCAGACAAAAACTTAACATTCACGTAAAATAAGATAATGATGGTGTATCTCTGATTAGCCTGCTAAAACTATAATGCATTTTCTTCTGTCTGCCACTTAAAATTTAACAAGCAAAATTGCAAACATAAAAAATAGAACTCCTGGACAGAGTATGCAAGTCTTAAAGCCAATCACCTGCGGCCCAGCCATTTCAACTGAGCTGCTCGCATACAGAGCAACAAAATCTCACATACAAAGAGGAGCACGACATGCAGGAGAAAGAGAACAATTTCTGGATAGATCATGTAGTTTCACTTTCTATGTTTGTGGGGAAACTACATAACTTACCAGATATCACCAGGCCAGAAATGATCCAAGGCTGCATCCAAAATAAAAATAAATATATGTTACATTAGAGATAAAGCTCACCTATTTGATCCAATCAGGATGATAAATCAAATGCACTCTCCAGGGTCTCATAGATGTTCATCAGAAAAAGATAAAGGCAAGGCTTAAAAAGCCCTTAAAAGGCTCATAATATATAAGGAATAAAGGATAGGTTTTCTGACCAAATGAGTCTTTGAGAACTCTCCCCAACCACGTGTCAAATCTGATAGATCCTTGAGCGTAGTTCCAACATATACAAGTGCCAGTGTTATTGGCTGCAACGGTTACAATATTGGAGACATTAATACACTGTTGTAGCTGGAAGTTATCTAGTGGACCATAGTAACAAATGGGGCTTAGTTTATGGTGCAAACTACTGTTTCTACAATAAATGCAAAAGAGAAACAGGTACATATTGTTTGTTAAAACAAAACTTGTCCCATCAAAGATGGCATCAAGAGTCTTATACTGTGACTGTTATTTGTTTAACAAAGACAAATAGAATTACATGATTATATACCAAGATATCTACTTCCCAACCCCTACTTTCAAAATCAAAACTCATGCAGATAGTGATATACTAATAGTCTACAAACATCAAACTTAAAATACCTGTTCTTAATACCTTAATTTAATGTAGTATCTTCCTACAACTCAAGTATATAACATATAAATCACAAGGTTGATTACTTGTTGAATACATTTGTTGATCTAATATTAACATAGTTTCATTTTAAATCAATTGATCTCAAATTTTAATATTTTTACCATACCACTTTAAAGTTTAATAATATCCACTATCCACTTCTATGCACAACGTGCTTTCGATATGGCACAACAAAAATTAAGGGAACAACTTGGATAACTCCCAAGTCGAAAGTTGTCATGTTTTTCCATTAATCATGTTAAATAGCACATTTAATATGGGAATGTCAAAATAAAAGCGCTTTATTACTTTTTGCTTTGGTTCACTTTGATATTTAGCATCCTAGTCATGTCTATTCAACTTTAAGCTGCTATTATTTTGTCACTTTCATTGATAATTTTTCCATTGCATTTAGTTATTCTCAATATATATATATATATATCCAATATTTCAAGGTTTTCTCAACTGAGATTCAAAATCAATTTAGGTTTTCTACTAAAATTTGCACACTAATAATGCTTGTGAATATTTGTCTTCCTAATCTTTGGTCTCTGTGACTTTACCAAAGATTATTATTCACCATGGCTGCATGTTGTTGCCGAAAGAAAGAATGTACACATAGGTGAAATGGCTAATGCTCTTCTTAACCATAATGTTCCTTTTCACTTTTAGGGTGATGCCTCACAAAAAAGTTTTCTAAACAACTACATGTCTTTTTCTGCCATTCCCTAATAAGAAAACATTACCTTGGTTGTCTCTATGTCTTTGGTTGCACATGTTTTATTCATGATCTCGTTCAAGGTAAAGAATAACTTTGCAAAATCTCTTAAATATCTTATTTTGGGTTACTCACTCCTCCAAAGAGCTATGGTTGTTGTGTCAACTTTAAAAATATATAAAATTTTTCCAAACATCCACTTTATTGGACTTGCCTTTTCATCTCTTGTTCCTTGTTCAAACCATCAAAGATCACTAAAGCACTTTTTGGTATGTATTGGCCCCGAAAGATCAAATTCACCAAACGAGAAACTCCATTCCACACTGCTTCTGAGTCGTCAAACTTTTCCACCAAGGGATTCATGAAATTCCTATGGATTGCATTGGGGAAAATCTACCAAAGCTAGGCAGATAGATAGACTCCTTTCCCCTTGTTTTGGTGTCAAAATGGGTTTAACCCAATGGGCCAACCCAAAAAATAGGCTAAGTTAGGCAAAAAAAATTATGATATAAATAGAATCATGCCAATTTAGGTTAGGCTAGCCCGTAGGCTTAGGCCAGTTCGTTTTATAAAATAATTATTTTTAAAATAAAAAAATAATATTATTTTATTAAAAATTAGATATGTATAACAAATTAATTTGATAATATATATATATATATATATATATATATATAATTTAGAAAGAATAATAAACCCTAAATATAAACCTCATTTACAGGTATTCTTTACATATATTTTCATTTTTGTTATTTTGTCTTTTGATTAAATTCTCATTTTTTTATTTATTCCTACAACACTTGTTATTTAAATTATGGAAATTCTATTTCGTAGTAAAAACAATTGGTAACCCATCTATTAATAGTTATATTTCTGATGTGCCTAATAACAGTAAGAGGGATAATGTTGAACAAAAAGGTAAAGTGTTTAAGAAAACAAAGACCATACTTTTGAAGTTGGTTTAGTTGAAGGGTAAAGAAATGTAAATGTAAGGGTTATGGAAAATTGTATACCTGTAAAGGAATTTCAAGGACCAATCATCTAAGATGACATATTCCTAAATGTAGTGTATTTCCAAAGTATCATGATGTGAGAGTTATATTTAATATATTGGATAATAAGGTTAGCTTGTTAAAATAATGAAAATTTGAAAGTTTACCAAGATACACTTGCTAGATGCATTAAACATCGTCTTCCATTTAACTATGTTGAATATGAGGGGGTCTGGAAAGTAAATAAAGTTTTGAATCCTGATTTTAAACCAATTACTCGAAACACTATGTTTGTAATATGTATTTAATAGAAAAGAAAAAACTTAAGAATGTATTATCTAATATTTTTGATAGAATATGTTTGATTTCTAATGTAAGGATAACTATAACTACTCAAGACTGTAACATTTTATTTTGTTTGGGCCTTTCGGCTGATCCATCAGGCTAAGCCTATTTTGACACCCTAGTACTAGATTTTTTTTTTTTTTGTGGACCCTTTGAATATTTCACTTACGACTCCAACTGTTGCCTCTACTCCACCTCCTTTGCTTACTTACCAATGATGGACATAGATTCCAATGGACTTCCTTACATTGCCTTTCTTATTTCTCCTTTCTCATTTCTCTAGATTTTGTTCTGAATCATAAATCTACGGGTGAAGTCCAAGCTAATTCCAACTGATGTCAGACAATGTTGGATGAAATGACAACATAACACTGCAGTGGCACTTACGAACTTGTTTCTTTAACTCTTGATTGTTTTTCCAGCAATTTGAAGAACATTTTAATTAAATCCAATTTGGATTGCTTTGTTAAAGGTTAAGTGAAGTAAGTCTCTAATGGAATAAAACCAATTATAATAAATTAAAACCAAGTTTTAATCGATTAATTTCACTTAAGGTCACTTAGGAACTTAAGGTCTTACATTTGTCAATTAAACTCACAAAAATTTCCTTTAGTGATTTTAATTGATTAAAAACTCAAATTAGTCTTTTAAAATGCTTTTCTCTTATCAACTATATATATATATATATATATGAGCTATTTCAAGCTATTTTCATTAAATCAAAATGAGAAAGTTTCAAAATATATCAAACACCTAAGTAGTGCTCTATAGCTATGGAAAACATATTTCTTGGATCCTTTACATGATAAAAGCTTGAAGATCATTTGTTAAGAAATCATCTTGAATATCGCCTTTGAGTCTTTCTTTTTCATTTCTCTTCCAAGAGTTTGTCCAGGTGATCTTATTCCATTTTGTACATTATTGTATGTGTAAGTTCTTGACCAAGGTGATAAAGGTGGTTCTCATGACCGGGTTTCACAAGAGTGCATTTATCTTGTTTATGGTGATGACATAACTAGTACCCAATGACTCAAATCCGACCTCTTCAATTAATTTCAAACAGAAGTATGGTCTAAATATTCTAACTAAAGCCAACATACTAGATTGCCATCCTAGTTATATAGCTTAATCCAGGTCAAGAAGAGTCACTGGAATACACGTCTTGTAGGTATACTCAATTATCTCACTGCGGTTAGTCAATGGAATTTTGTCTTAAGTAGTCTTCAGTACATAAAAATTGCCTCAGGACAAGAACTACAATACGAACATAAGACAATGCCAACATCACTTTTTATTCTAATGCTGACTAGGTATGGTTTCTAATTGAAGGTAAATATGGTTTTTTTTAGGCGTAAGAGGTAGAGCCCAGTTTCCAGACCTCAAGCCAAAGTTGAATCTTGTGGCTATGATAACAATTGCATGCAAGATTACATAGCTTAGGCAAATACTCTAACAACTATAATGAGAAGACATCCAATATACAAAATTTATCTATGACAATCAAGTTGCCCTTTGTTATAGATTGATTAGATATTAAATAGACAGTTATACCTAGGTTCTAGAAGCATGTATGAGCTGGATCTTTATCTATACCTAATTTTTAGAATAGGTCTTTTCATTTTCCCTCTACTCATTATGTTAGTGAACTTCCATTATAAATAAGAGAACTTAAGAGAGGGAGTTCAAGCTCTCTAATCACATATTTTTCATTTTTTATCTTAAGTTCCTGCTTTGCCTATCTTTGTCTCTGGTCGCGGTCATCTGCCACCACCTTCGTCCACTGACGTCGCTGTCCATCCGCTGCCGCTGCCATTGTCTGCCATCGTCTGTCGTGTGGCGCCACCATTTTTTTTTCGTTTGAATACTGCTTGGTGTGAGCTCTCATCTCTATCTTGAATCAAATTCATTTGTTCCAAGCTTGATACATACAATTTGTATACTCCAACTTGAGAGGCAATATTAGATTTATTAGATATTAAATAGACAGTTGTACCTAGGTTTTAGAAACATATGTATTTATGAACTAGATCTTTATTTGTACCTAGTTTCTAGAATAGGTCTCTTCATTTTTCCTCTACTCATTATGTCTGTGAACTTCCATTATAAATAAGAGAATCTAAGAGAGGGAGTTAAAACTCTCTAATTACATATTTTTCTTCTTTTGTCTTAAGTCCCTTCACATTGCATCATGTACGGTCTTCCATGAAGAGACCAAACACGAATAGATTTTCACTTTGTAAATTGTAATAGAGAAGGTCCTAAAGGGGAATCACAAATGACTTTGTCTACTCAAGCAACCAGTTGACCAACATATTTTTTAGTCCCTTAAAAGCTCTCATGTGGACTACATATGTGACAAACTAGGCTAATACGACATATAAGCTCCAAATTGAGAGAGTTATCATATTTAATACATGTTAAACATGGAAATAGTTGTCTGCTAGAAATCAAAGATGCAGTACAACAATTTAGGAGTTTGATTATTCTTATGTATTTATGACTGATTCCATTGTACCCTAACCCTAATATTTGATTATAAATGAGGTATGTGTGGACATATAACTCACAACATTCAAATATATTTCTTCTTTTATAAATCATATTATTTTCTTAATCTTAATATTGAAAGCCATTTCCTAATACACTATGCAAGAAGTGACTACCATAAGAAAACCCAATTAATTTTTAACAAAGGTGGAAACAAGTCAGGACAGATCAAGCTTTGAGCTTGAGCTTTACATCATAATTAGTTAGCCTGCGTCTGGCCTATTTATCTATTGCAGACTATCTTTAAAGCCTTGGCCTGACCTGTTTTAAAATTTGGCCTAACCTGAAAGCCTGTTTATGTGAACAAGTCATTCTATTGAAAATAGACTTGTGGATTGTGGTTCTCTCCAAAAATTAAATAATAAAATTTTATTAAGAGGTCATTGCTCCAAATATATTATGAGAAATTTTAAAAAACTCATACCACTATTAATTAGAAATAGAAATGTGAACAATCATCGTCCATCAAGTATGATATCCAAACTATGTTTAACAAGTTCATATTCATCCATAAAATAGGCTTTTTTTTATGGCGTAAGCGTGGCATTCTTATTTAAATATGCTTCTAAAAAATCCTTAGCATGGCCTTTGTAGTAAACAGGTCATAGGCCCCAGATAGGCTACCTGATCTATTTCCATCCCTATTTGTAATTCTAATGCATGAAAACAGAAATTCATTGCTAAGAGTAAAGCCCCATACATATGATTGGTCAAAGATGAAGAAGATACCATCATTCCTAACCAAGCAGCCAGTGTGTATTCCCCTAATGGAACAGGAGTTATAGATAGGAGGTAATTTAACATGCTAAATGGTACAAAAGGAGCAAGCCGAAGGAGTATCGAAATCTGTAAAGACATGGAGAAATTAAAACAATCAGATATTATTGTTTAATGAAAAAAAAAATTTATTAAGAAGAAAATGAAAATATGATTAAGCAAAAATCTAGCAAGATAATAGCCTTCCTAAGCAATTATTAGTATACATAATAAAATAAAAGCCTTTAAAGTTTGCTTTAACAGGAAATCAAACTTATGCATCATAATTCCAGACATGTTACAGTATACATAACTTCATGACCCACTTGCTCTAACTTGAGCCAGATCAGAAAATAGAATTCCAAAAGAACATACGAGATAAAAACAAGTGGAACAGTATAAGATAAACATCAAAGGCACAACAACTTAAAAATAAAATCATTCAATTGACTCTACAAACCTTAAAGCCAGATCTCTGAATTGCAATTGCTACTGATCTAAACTGTGGATAATCCTTCAACCTTGAAACAACAAATGATTTCCCAATCTGCATAGATACAAAAATAGATGAATAACCTCCGGAAACAAATAACTATATCATAATACAGAAACAAGTGGACCAAGAAGCAACACAATTGGAAGGCTGAGAAAATTTCAAGAAAGCAAATGAGGAAAGGCAAACAGATAAAGAGCACACTTTACTGCTTAAGAAAAAATTTTAAATTCATAATTTTTCAATGGCAACTAGGAAACTGAAAAGTGAATCAATCATGCCATAATTCATTATATTTCTTTAATTTAAAAAAAAAATACTAACAAATGTGAAAGTTGAAAACTTACTGTTCTACCAACAAGGAACGCAGCTACAGCACCGATGGTTGAACCAATGGAGTCAGCAATGAAGCCAATTGGAAGGCCAAATAGATAACCACCCCCGAGCTGAACAAAAAGTATCCGGTAAAGTGACTCAACAAATTATTTCTGCCTTTGGTTTCTTGAGTTTACTTCATCAGTTATATTGCAAAGGAGATGTAAAGCAATGAGTGAACTGTTTATTATGCATACACTTTATTATACAATAGAAATTATAAATGAACCATTCAAGAAATAATCAAGGTGTTTGGAACACACATCAAACTATGGACACGCATATATTTTAAAGTAAGAAAACAGTATAATGCAGCAATCCTGCCTATTTTGAAGAATTTAACCAGGTAAATGATGACCCATGACAAATTCAATTTAAAAATTTATTAGTTCTTAAATGTAAGAATCACAAATACAAAACAATTCTTTTAAAGAAAATTTATAAGCGAAAATGCAGACAGGTCACATTCTTATACAGGTAGTTAAAGATTCCATACTCTATAAGAAGTACAAATTGAGGTATCAAATATTCTTACAGTAAGTACAGCGGCTGGAACTGCCAAGACAGTCAAAGGAATGTAAGCAGCTATCCTGAAAATTACCAAACAAACATAGGTTCACAAATTCATGTATTCAAGTCAGTTGTTATCTCGATAGGTTAATATGCCCATTTGTATATGTGTACATCTATAAAATTCTTTTCCATGATACTATGATTAGCATAAAGCTTATCATTAATGAAAGCACATGACAGTCTCCTGTAAAGATGACCTCTAAAAATTGCAGCCCAAACTAAGGCAATTATTTGTAGAAACAAGTATCACGATTATGAGATTTTGAAAGCAACAGGAAATAGTGTTGAAATTTTAGTGGTCCATAATTAAAATATACTTACAGAGCAAGTGGACCCCAGGGCCCAAGATTACGATCAATCCATACCAATAAGTCCTTCAGAATCTGTAGTACAAAAAAAGAGGGCAATAAATTCAAAATCTCCACGCAACCAGAATGGTTGGGAAGGAAAGTTCCAAACCGGTGCTTGTAAAGTGGCATTGTGAATTGGATGCATGCACAAGGGAGGGGGGATTCCAATTCGTAAAACAAAACTCGCTATCTTCTATTCTTTTCCGCTATTCACAATTAGAAACCAAACCAAATTCAAAAAAAATCTTCATTATCGAATGATACTCCAATTCTAAAAATTGCACAAGGTGCTACTTATATTATCCGTTGATTGAATTTCCGGTATGTAAACACCACTTGAAAATTTCCCTACCTCATGTGAGTAATGAAGTAGTCAATTACTATCGAACCCCATTTCGTAGAAGAAAAGCCGTGTCAGGGAAATTAATCACTTGAATAAACATGCAACCACCCCATTTCAAGTTCCATTAGAGCTAAATATTTTGTCTCATATAGAGAAATAGAAGAACCCAGAAGTGAAATTGGTTTTAAAAAAGAACCTTGTCAACTGGGAGTGTTAAACAGGCAACAACAATGGCGGCAACGAGGAGCAGCAGAAGAGTGATGTTGAGAGCAGAGGTCCACGTGACAGACATGGTCGTTCGTTCATTCAAGTCCAAACGAGAAAGGGTTGAGTCATCATTTCAAGCCGTGTCCTTTGATCTTATCAGACTATTCTCTCTCTCTTTCTGTCTCCAACAATTAATTCGGGAACAACACAGGGCGCGTGACCACTCCCTTGCCTCTGTAAGTTACTTACAGCACTGCACTTGATACGTTACATCATGCTAATTCCCTGTTAATGATGTTTTTCATCATCAATATTTGACAAAGTTTTAAAATTTAAACAAATCCTTTATCCTGTCCTTAATATAGGATATTAATGATAATTTTTATAACATTTTATAAGTTATATAAAATGTTACTTTTTTTTTCTTACTTATCTATATTAAATAGTATAAATATCTCTATAAAGTATTATGAAAACATGTATTTTTTATTAATAAAAAAGAAGAAGAATTTTTAAATAATTAATAATAAAAATAAATTTGATATATTGATAATATTATTTTAAAAATTAAAAATAATAATAATTATTATTATTTTAATCCCATGTAAATAAACAATGTATTTATTTGAAACTTCCTTCTTAGTAAGGATTAAAATATTGTTTTGTAGAGATTACAAGGTCTTTTCCACCACAAACTACTAGTAACTATAGTGACACTCAATTGAATTTTCATTCTGCCAATTTTTCAATTTTTCAATGTTAAAATAGAGTACTCAGTTCAAAAATTCAAATATATAAACGTACATGTGGATTCATATGTACATTTAAATTGAAATTACTTCTGATTTTTTTTGGATAAAAAATATTAAACATTAAATAAAATCCGGAACGTTAAACACTAAATAAACAAACGTCGTCATTTTTCCATTATCCACAACCAGAATCGATTATTGCAATGGGTAGGTTAGGATTGTTAACGGCTGCAATCAATTATCGTATGCAACAGGGAATTAATAAAAAAAAAAAAAGGATTTTTCAGTAAACACATTATGGATCAAATCAGAGAAACACAGCGTTTGACGAAGGGAACAAGCAAAGCGGAGAACAGTATATTAATTTAGATAATAAAATGAAGGCTTAATTCAAATTTTCCATCTTAGATAAATATGGGTAATTTTATTTTGGTTCTTAAATTTATTTATTTTTCCTTTCATTTTTAGCAATTATTTTTAAATCATTTCTGCCATCGATTCAGCCTACTAAAATTCCCACTTTGACAACCTTAATTAAAAGTTGTTAAAGATGTTGACGTTGACAAAATTATTACATTAACATTTGAGATTATTAAGAATTAAAATAAAAAATAATGTATTTATCAAAATGGAATAAAATATTACAAGGATTAAAAATTAAAAAAAATATTTAGAAGGAAAAAGATAAAAATAACATATTTAAGGTAGAACAAAAACTAGGATTATAAGTAATTATATTAATATTAAAAATTACTGATTTAACTAATTTTAAAATAAGGGAATATAACGTCTCCCAACCTATTAGGCAAAGTATAATTACACTCACAACAATATGAGTTCCACTATGTGTAAAAAAACAGATGATTTTTCTTGATCAAGCAAATAGACCTACCTATGATAAAAAAAACTAATATGTCATGAGTCCAACAAAAACATTATATGATTTAATTTAGACTACTCTTTTCTTTGAGTTCAACCTATGTTTATGAACTTTTTGAACTAACCCCATGATTCAAGTTCATCTTGAAACCTTTAATCTTCATTATTCATCCTAAATATTAATTTGAAAATCAGTTAAATCAGTAATTTTTTATATTGACATAATTTATTTACTTATTTTAATCTCATTTAACTGTAATAATGTTTATTATTATTATTTAAAATTTATTTTTTATTCTACTTTAAATATGCTTTATAAATAATATTTATTATTTTAATCATTCTAAATAAGTTACTTTTTCATGTGTAATTCTTATTAATATATATTTTTTAGTCAACATAAATATGTTATTTTGAAATCTAGTCCTTTTATAAATATATTATTTTTTTATTTTGACACCCTCTTTTCTCTCTCTCTCTCTCTCTCTCTCTCTCTCTCTCTCTATATATATATATATATATATATATATATATATATATATATATATAAATTTTAGTTTTGGATGATGTTAATATGATAGTTTTGGTCACATTTGGATCATTGATTTGACAATTTTATTTATATGCTAATATCATACAGGTTAACTTTGATAATCAAGATTAACGAAAGAGACTCATTTAAAGGAAAATTATTCAAAAAAAAAATGCCAGAAACGGAAAGAAGATGGACCAATTATTGAAGCAGCAGAACCACCAATTAGTAATGGACTGGTTCAATCCAGTTACTGTGTTAAATAGCTTTATTTACTTTTAAAAATAAGTTTTTGACATAAATCAGCATAAAATTGGATTAACTTACTTTACACTACAAATAATTATTATATAATTTTAGTTTAATGTTATGATCATAGATAATTACGCTAATTACATTCATTTAACTTTTAATCGTAATTGCTAATATATATATATATATATATATATATATATATAGAGAGAGAGAGAGAGAGAGAGAGAGAGAGAAAAAAGAGAAATACACCACCCTCTAATCATATTAAATGACACTCGATATTTTTTTTTATAATTTTAAAATAGACATACTTTTCATGTTTTAATAAAATTAATAAAAATGATGCGTAGTTTAAAAAAAAGATATTTATCTGTTTATATTTTAATAAAAGACATTTTTCTCCTTTATATTCAAATAAAGTAATATTTACACCTTTTATTATCAAAAATAAAATTTATTTCCATCCATAACAATTAATAAACCGTGATCTTTTCAATGATACATTATTATAAAATTAAAGAAGATCTTGGTATCATGTTGCATGACATGACTTTAGAGGTGGTAGGAACAATTTTCCCCATATATTATTGTGTTATCGAATCTAAGTATTACGAAAGCTAATTTATTATGAGTTAAGACATATAATAGTTTAATTAGATGTTAATATTATAAATTATGATAGTTTTAGTAGTAGCAACTACATTCAATTATTACCATTCAACAACTAAATTGATAGTTGGAAAATGTTCTGTCTAATTGAAGAGAAACATAGAATAAATATGCAGAATTCCACAATTTTTAAAATCAATTTCACTCTCTTTCTCTCGCATCAAACAACTCAAATTATCTCTGTCATCCCTTCCCTTGCTATTTCTTTACCACCAAACAAGCCATAACTTATGGAAAAAGGAAACAAAAAAAGATAGCAGAAAACCAGAAACAGAAGCAAGATAATAAAAACTTATTGGGGCGGAACCAGAAATAATTAATGTCCTAATGGCTGATGAAGTTGAGCATTCCATGTTCATGGCAGACATGCCAGGGTAATAGGGAAAGAGGTGCATGTGTTAGAGATATATTATTCAGTATTAAAACATTGCTACAAGTTTGCTGCAATAATAATTGTAACCATCCACGGCCAACAATAAAGCCACGATTGTGAAAGTCAACCGTTTCATTTAATATAACTAACTATCTTACCACAAGCCTATAGATGCTACAAGTCATATATGTAAGAATTTAAGGACAAGGCTACTAAACCAGAAGAGATATTCAAATAAAGAATAATCTTTGAATAATAGTATTGATCATAGATGGTAAATGATGGTGTTGTGAGGAGTTAAAATCTCCTGATAATCTACAAGTGGAACAATCTCATGTATACATAACTAACAAAAATATATGAGCAAGAAAGAATGCCAAACCTAACTACATAGAAACAACAATACTCCAAGCATAGTGGACACTACCTTAAAAGTCTTCAACCAAGCAAAAGGTGTGCATTATTCATAGGGTCTACATACACTTGTTTGCTTCAAATGCTATCTTGCACATAGAGCATTGAGGAGAACATGAGATAGCATGAGGTCCACGAAATATTGATGTCCAATTTGGCCATCTCTCCACTTCATTTTTGTTGGAGCTCTTCCATAGTGTACTCCATCGTTACACCGGTTATCAAAATGCCATGGAAATGTCATATCAAAGTTATCAATCACACCAGATACAACTCCTGCTTGCTTCAATTTCTCCAACAGAACACCATTGAAAGCCTCCATCTTGTTAGGATTGAATGCTAGTGACCTTGCATATCCACCAGTCGCAACCGTAGTCCGGTAAAACACTCTTGGCCATGCCAACCCTCTTTGCTTCACTGTCTTCATAATATCTGTCCAGAAGGATGCTGCATAGTCTGCTCCAACAGAGAATGCTCTTATGTTGCGCCAGTGGACTCCATCATGCAAGCCGGAGTTCATGATCACAGCGTCCGGAATGGTATCTTCTGAGAAGTATTTCTTTAGCAAATTTTGAAACCCTTCATCTCTCAGAGAATCCAACCCCAGATAGTTTTGTGTTTCATTCCAATGCCCATTGAAGATGCTTGTAATCCTAACTGTTTGAGAAGGGTCTTTTGGGTTGGAAAAGTTCATGTCAAATCTTCTAGGGACAGAATGTATTTCAGGCAAGTCTAACACAAAGTTGAGCATATTCCTTATCGTGTCAACATGATTTGAATCGCCCCAGAAGAAAATCCATCTGTTCTGCAAGCAATTCCAAGCACACTCCGCTGAATACAACTTGAATGAGCAATGAGTTGAATACACCCAACCATTACTCTCCAGAATTCCCAAGGAACCATCACACCAAGGAGCTTTGCATGGAAAATCCGGCCCAAGGCACCTGTACCTACCATCATTTCCTATGGTGCAGTCATCATTCTTTCCATGCCTTGTCCACCTTCCACTCCACACATCCCTGCCAAAATCAGAAGCCTTACAAGCCTGCAGTTCTGGTAGCTGAACACCGTTTTTGTAGAATCTGATTGTAACATTTCGCAGCATTCGGTCATAAGAAAACCTCCATGGGGTGAACTTCAGACCTTCAAAGTGTCTATAGAGCAGGATAATAGTAAGATTGTAAACCCCATCAAAATCTGGATGAACCTGCAGTGAAATTGAGTAAGAACCATTGCTGAAATCTTTCACCAAAGGCCTAGATTTCCACGATTCCCCTGAAAGATCAGTCTCAAAGTAGTCCCCACCTAAACAACGAGGCTTCCCTGAATCATCCAGTGCTTGAAAACCAAATTCATGCACATCACCAGCTGAAAGCTCTATGACCTCCCCACCATCCAACCCAGGAATTGCAATCTCTACAGCCTTGGAATCTTTACAGGGCACACCTCCACGAGCTGACCATCTAGCTATGAGATTTGAAGTGAAGTTGGGTTCTAACACAGTTGAAACCCAACTATCATGCCCCTCAACTGGAAGGGACTTCTTGCCTATTTTTTCATACAGAGTGAAGTTCACAGGACTATATGGAGAAACAAGAGTTAAATTAGGAGTATGAAACCTTACATCATCAAGATAATCTTGTTGATACCTCCAAGCTTGAATGTTCTTAACTGTGCACCCATCAATGCTCCAAATCACAAACATTGCAACCAAAACCAAGGCAGTGAGCAACCCAACACGCCAATGAAGCATTGGAAGGGACCACATAGCCCATTGGGGCGAAATCACAACCTTATCTGGCATGGCATCACCCCAGAACAGCTACCAATAAATCCACCCTCCAATTCCGCAAAAGTTGCTATCTTTTGACGACAACACGTCAAAACACAAAAGTGCCTTCGAAGCACAAGACTCGATTTTCCCGAGGAAACGATAGAAACAAAACTTGATGAGTGAAAAAAAAGGGAAAACCAAATCGTGGGATGCTCACCAGTTATAAAGGGGTGTTTCCAATTTCTATGTAATGTGTTGTGCTGTAAGAGAGAGTGTTGCGGCGAATGGGTCGGTGTGAATTCCAGAGGAAAAGGAAGGTCTTTCACATTATGCTTCATGAAAGTAACTTGGCAGATTTCGGACATGGACAGGTATGTCCAAAGAAGATATCAACCTCAAAGTTTAATTATGAAGTTTACTTCTTTTTCTTTTACATTTTTCTAAATTTTGATTTGCCTTGGTCATCCAGCCGTGGATTATTTTTTTCCTTTTCATGATTCTAATCAAAGCTGTCTTTTGCTTTTTTATTATTATTAATTACTCCGACCACTACAGTGTGGACGTGGAAATAATTTAAATATTCTAACTATCAGAGAATTGTAAACATTGTCTGTGTTAGTCTTTAGGTACGGTAGGATAGGGTGAAATGAATAACAAGAGACTTGGGACGTGGTTTCACCACTTCCAAGTGAAGTTGTCATGTAATTTGATGATTTTGAATAATTGTTCTTCTTCGTTATTGAGACACGTTATAAACGATGTGAGTCTCGTGTTTTTTTTTTTTTTCAATGATTTAGTGATAATGTTTTGAATTGAATAGACTTCATCAACGTACTGATAATAATCAATGACACATACAACTATTACATCTTAAAATGCTCCAAATTCATGCTAATGGTGAAGATAGTGATTTTACCTCCTCCTGATATAACACGAGTAAAAGCGGTTCCTCTCCTGTAACTATCACATTCATATCGAATTTAATACACATGTCTTATCTTTCAACCACATGTATCTAGGCCTAACTATGGTTTTAATTCCATGCATTCATTATTTTGCATAACACCGACCATCATTAAAATTTGTCATGCCTTAAGTACCTGGACTTACAAAGTATTATAATAATTTATATGTACATTTAACCAATATGTTGACATATTATACACAAATTTATTGCCATGTGTCATATTGACTACCATAATGTCATGAAGAATGTACTGATTTAAAATTACAATATCATCCATCCAATGTTGTATCTGTGGGTTTGGGTTAGAATTCTAATTCACTTGGCGGCTCCAATTTGAATTTAAGATTCAAATTTTTACTTACCAATTCAACTTGAATTTAAGATTCAAACTTTCAACTACCATGTCAGATAGAGAAAGAGGGAGTTGCAATGTTCACAGCAACAGATGACCATTCACTGCATGACATGGACTAACAAGTATGATTTTTTCTATTATGTATATTATAATTTTTACAATATAAAAAATTGTATTTTTGTATGATAAATATTCAATCTTTATAGAGATGCCTGTGTTGTACAGTTGTTGTTTTTTTGCAACTAATAAGAAACCATTTCTTAGTCTGATTGTTAAACAAATATTCTCATAGGTGTTTTTAATGAATAAATAAATTAAACTGGATTTTTCTCCTAAGTTAAAAAAAAAACTCATAACCTCTATTTCATAAAATGTTAAAAAATAAAAGTTAAAATACGTAAATTAATTTTAACTTATAAATAATACTTAATTTATGTTAAATTTCTAATAACTGTTTATAAAAGTTAATAAATTTACCATGTATAATACAAAAATATTGTTAATATATTATTTTACTCATTATTTATTAAAAAAAAGTATATTTTGCTTTTAAAGAAGAATAAGTAATTATATATAGATCGAATAATTTCTTAATCAGTCATAATCTGTTATATGATGAATTTTTCAAAATTATATCAATTATATTAAAAATTATAATTCAACAAAAAATTAAAAAAATAGTTTTCATGCATTTTATTTAAATAATTTTAAAAGTACCATTGATGTGAAATTATTATAAAAATAATACTTTGTAGTTGAATGTGTTATAAGAAAATAAAATAGTGCGTTGGGCATAAGGCGCACATGAAGAGCGTGCAGTGACCTACCACCGACGCATGGTAGGCTTGGAACTGATACTCATAATCATACACTCTTTCAATTATTATTCAAATAATTATGTGCAGTGTTGCATATCCATCATAAATGTGTGTTTCATCTTTTCTGTATACAATATCTGTTTTTGAAGAATGGGTTAGGTATGCATAGCCCTAATTTCTTAACCCTTTGTGTTTTGAAAGAACATATTCCATCAGAATATTTTTATTTTTAAATGTATAAATTCAAATATATATATATATATATATATATATAAATATTTAATAATTATATTATTATGTTAAAAAATATGTACATCATAGTATAATAAAGGTGTTTGCTTTTATTGAATGTATGCACCACAATTCACTTTTCAAAGATGTCAATAATCAATTCTACATTTTTTTAGAAAAGAAGTTATAACTGAGTACAAGGAACTTAAATTTTGTAATAAATTGCTTTATCATATTGAACTTGAACAAACTTAATGAAACTATTATATATTTTATGTTATACAATAATGATTTAAAATATTTTTTAATTGAGTGAGGTGTATTTCTTTAATTAATAATTTCCATGTTATTGACTTCTACAGTTATTTATACTATTGAACTTATGTTTCAATTCAGTTAGTGTACAGAAAAAAGCACTTAAAAGGAAGAAAAAACATATTTCATTTTTAAAAAAATTAATCCAAATAAATATATGGAGGTAGACACTAAAATTAGAGCTTATATAAACACATCTCATTTTAAAAATGTAAATATGAAAAGTAATGTTCTAATACCATAATCATTGTCATTCAAAAAATTGGGAGTTTATCAAAAGGATTGGTTGTTAAAAATCCATGAAATTTAGCATTAGTGGATGTTAAACTTTTCCCATCCTAAGAGATAGCAAAATTTGCATAATGAAAATTTTCGATTTTGTTTCAAATTCCATTAACGGAGCAATGGACACGGTCCTGTAGTTTCATCAATATTTAGTTGAATGGCAAGAAATTCAGTATATATACTGTGCTATATATATTATTGACTCTTAATTATAAATATATTATTTTATTTATATATAATTTTGTATTATATTTAACATGATATTAGAATATAGATTCTCGTCGTTATTGTTACAAATGTTATTGTTCTTACACGTGTTGTTATTTCTGTCATTGAAACTGTTTTTGTCATTGGAGTTATCACTGTCGTTATCGAAGTTACAATTTAGATACATGAGCACTCTGCTCATCTTGATTAAACAATCACCGTGTCATTGAGATTGTTGTGATGAGAGTCTCCATTAGATACCACAATTAAACTTGTACATGTGGGGATCGATCCGTCATCGTCTCTGACGAGGAAAAATAGAGTTGATCCGAGACAGGGATAGACTCGGGTTTTCTCCACTTTAAAAAGTTGGGGGCGGGTAATGTAATCCTCACCCCGTGCCCTGTCCCTGTCTTTGTTCCGCCCCAACTTTATATTTAAATTTAAATTTTAAAATATTAATATTTTAAAATTATTTCTTTTTCTATTACATATAAGGTTATTTTTTTATATTTCACCATTTTTACTTTTCTTCTACCCACTTTTTAATTCTTTTGTCTTTTTTAATCTTTTATATCAATTAGTTTATTACATTATTTTTTTTATCTTACCTTTCAAATTTTCACATTTCCTTAATCTCTCCAATCAATTTATTTTTTCTTTCAATCTTTTCAACGAATCTGATGAATACAAAACTTTTTTTCTTTCTCTTTCTTTTTTTAAATATTTTACATAAATTTTAGTAGTAACTAATATTATTTTATTTATAATTTATATTTATTAGGTTTTATTATGCCATATTTTTTTTGTATTTTATTATTCTTATTTGTTATATATCAAATTTTATCTTAATAAAATAATTATATTTTAAAGAATTAATAATTTAATCTTTTATTACTTCAAACTAATTAAATAAGAATTAACTTATTAAATATTTCCTTATAAACTATATATTTCATATTTTTAAATAACAACTCAAAAATAAATTAACTTTTATATATATGTAATCAATTGTTTGAATATAGTATTTTAATAATAATAATAATAATGTTAGAAGTATTCGAATACAGTATTATAATAATATTATTATTATAAATATTCTATATATATAAATAAAAATGATTAAATATTTCTTTTACATACATATTTCAATATAAAAATAATATATAAAAATATATATTTAATTAATAATAATTACAAATTTTAAAATTATAAATAAATAAATAAATATAGAGCGAGAGTGGGGAAACCTAAAACCCAACGAAAACAGGGATGAACACTTAATTTCTAACCCGGCGGGGATGAGAGACAGGTAAAAAAGTCAGGGGCAAAAATCAGGGAGACAAAATTCACCCCGTTGCGATGCCTATCTCCATGCTTCATTTAAAGTTTTTAGTTTTTTCTCTCTTTTCCTCCATGGCTTCTTCCATTACCTCTTCTGATATCTCTTCTTCTGCCACCAATTTGTTTGATATGTCAGTCAATACTAATTATGTGAATGTGCACTTGTCTATTGATAAGTTAGATGACACTAATTATGCAACTTAAACGTCTGACATTAAACTTTGGCTTAAGAGTTAATGGTACGTTGATCATCTTACTCAGAATGTGACCACTATTGTTACCAGTGAAGTTTTCCAAGTCTGCCATTCAGTCCTCTTTAAAGCAATTATGTATCTACAAAACATGTTCTGAAGTTTGGGAATAGACAAAATTATTATACACCAGTGGCATTCAATGTCTTTATGGGGTTTGTCATGATCTTCTCACTGTTGCTCCTCCAAGTCATTGTGACTTTAATGAGTTATTACCTCCTGCTTCAACTCTTACCCAAGAACTAGAGTAATGGTCAAAGTTCTTCATGTTGTTGGCATTATATGGACTTGTTGATGAATATTCTCATGTTCGTGATAAGATCTTGGGTTCTCCTATTGTATCCAATTTCACTTCTACTTGTTCCACCTTTTAGCGTGTATCAAGTGAACACATCATTGATATATTTGCTTATGATGATTATTCCTCTTCTTTGGCATCTCAACATGATGATCAAAATCACTCTCGCAAGCCAAGAAAAGGGGAGTGCGATCATTGTTACAAGCTAGGCTACAAGATTGACAAGTGTTATGCAATACATGTTTGTCCTCCTCGATTTGCTGCAATTGTCCAAATTATTCCTCCCTCACAATCATCTACTGTAGATCCTACTTCCTCTTATATCGCAGACAAATCTATTATTTTCAATAAATTTTTCAAATGGCATGAGGATCTTCAGAACTCTTGTTCCACTACTTCTGTTGCACATATACATCTTTTTTTGGCCTAACTCAATCTCTTTCTCTTGGACCTTGGGTTCTTGACTCATACTGGAAATAAATCTTTAATTTTTTTATCCTTTCTGGATAATTTACCTTTGATTATAATGGTTGATGAGTCTAGGGTTGTCTCATGGTATTGGTACTATTAAACTTTTTCTATCTTAATTCGTTGATAATATTCTTTATGTCTTTGAGTCTCCCTTTAACTTATTATCCATTAGTCGTCTAACATGTTCTCTTGATTGTATTATTTCTTTTACCAAAAAAATTGTTTGTTTACAGGATCGGAGTTCGAGACAGATGATTGACACCAGATGTGAGTTTCATAGTTTTTATCATCTTCGTGCTTCTACACATGTTGACACAGTTATCTAGTTTGTTATGTGAGTCATGTCAATTAGGGAAACATAGTCATAGTTCAGTTACTTGTATTTTCTCACAACGTGTTTCACCCTCTTTTGCATTAATTCACTCTAACATTTAGGGACCTAGTCATGTTAAGTATAATTTAGGTTTTCAATATTTTGTTATCTTTATTGATGATTATTCCATAAGTGCTTGGTTATTTTTAATGAAAAATTGTTCTGAGTTGTTTTTTATATTCCAATCAATTTTTAATGAAATTAAAACTCAATTTGAGATTTATATTTGGATTTTGCGAAGTGATAATGGTCATGAATACCTTTCTTGTTCTTTTGAACATTTTATGACTTTTTATGACATTCTTCATCAAACTTCATATGTTGATACACCTCCAAAAAATGGGGTGGCTGAGCATAAGAATAAACATTTTGTTGAAACAACTCAGACTCTTTTAATTCATGGTGAGGTTCCTAAACATTGTTGGAATGATGTTTTTCTTATTCCAGGTTATCTTATCAATCACATGTCATTTTCTATTCTAACTAACAAAATTCCTCATTCTCTTTTATTTCCTTATGAATTTCT